TCCACCCCGTCTACATCTGGCCGGTAACAACTTAGCAATATTGGGGGGGGGGGGGGTCCAACTTCACGTTGTGTTCCACCCCGTCTACATCTGGCCGGTAACAACTTAGCAATATTGGGGGGGCCCCGTCTACATCTGGCCGGTAACAACTTAGCAATATTGGGGGGGGGGGGGTCCAACTTCACGTTGTGTTCCACCCCGTCTACATCTGGCCGGTAACAACTTAGCAATATTGGGGGGGGGGGGGGGGGTCCAACTTCACGTTGTGTTCACCCCCGTCTACATCTGGCCGGTAACAACTTAGCAATATTGGGGGGGGGGGGGGTCCAACTTCACGTTGTGTTCCACCCCGTCTACATCTGGCCGGTAACAACTTAGCAATATTGGGGGGGGGGGGGGTCCAACTTCACGTTGTGTTCCACCCCGTCTACATCTGGCGGTAATAACTTAGCAATATTGGGGGGGGGGGGGGGGTCCAACTTCACGTTGTGTTCCACCCCGTCTACATCTGGCCGGTAATAACTTAGCAATATTGGGGGGGGGGGGTCCAACTTCACGTTGTGTTCCACCCCGTCTACATCTGGCCGGTAACAACTTAGCAATATTGGGGGGGGGGGGGTCCAACTTCACGTTGTGTTCCACCCCGTCTACATCTGGCCGGTAACAACTTAGCAATATTGGGGGGGGGGGGGTCCAACTTCACGTTGTGTTCCACCCCGTCTACATCTGGCCGGTAACAACTTAGCAATATTGGGGGGGGGGGGGGTCCAACTTCACGTTGTGTTCCACCCCGTCTACATCTGGCCGGTAACAACTTAGCAATATTGCCAGTAATTAGTTAAAACATAATCAAATTTAAACAAGATTCACTAGGCTATAGGAGAAGTTGGGTACATTTCCTCACAAAATAGAGAACCATCGAAGGAGCATTGCATGTAATGATAGCTGTAATGGATTACCTATGTACTCCACTGTGGAGCAGAACACGTAATCTTTGAGGGGCTGTCCAGGAGTTGTTCCGTCAGTTTCCACTACACTACTCGGATCTGCAGTGTTGAACAGTCTTCTTCCTGCCCAGATAATATGTTATTTATAACTCATCTCATTCTTCTCATTAATGCGAATTCTCAAAAAAGCCATTGACGAGGGTTAGAAATGGGTATTTTTTTGTGAAACTTGATTTCGAGATAGTTGACCAACAAACTAGGACCAGTGACCGAACTTTTGAGGGGGTCCCGGACCCCAACCGCGCCAAACGGTTCGCGCAGGGCAGCCACGCCCATATTTGGTCCAAATTAGGCCCAATTTATCCAAATACCCTGAACATGCCCAAAACCCAGGTTAATGGTGCTCTACTTGTAGCTAGTGGTCTCCTGAACTCGTATACGAAATTTCATCAAGATTGGACAAAAAATGACTGAGTTATGAGCCAAAAACCATATGCCCATATTTGGGCATACGCACCAAATTTGGTAGATTCCGTCCCATAAATTTGTCAAACATCAATATTTTTGAATGAGACTTACTTTTTATGAAAGGTAAGCCTTAAACTACATATTCTCTGTAAGTTATAGCTTTATATCTGTTTAAATGTGGATACTAAGGCGAAAAAACCACAAAAAATTAACCAAATTGCCTGTATCTTGGTTCGCGATATTCGCGAAATTGATCTCATTAAAATTGTAACAACTCAATCAGTTTTCAAAATTTTTGCATGAAATTTTCGGAATCGACTCGAAATCGCATTTCGACCTTATTTTGAAAAACGGATTTTTGATTCAGGCCTCCAAAAAAATTTGGCCGCCATAAACTAAATTGCACGTGCATTGCACGTGCATTGTGCTCATAGAGACTAGATTAACTGACCTTATTATTCCTTAAATACCGTGCGAAAGTCATAATGCAAAAATCTAGTGTGATAAACACAAACAAATGTGTGTTAGATTCTATACATTTACCAACGCATAGTATTTCTTGAAATTTCATCTTTTAACGCAATGGACCACAAAAAACCAAATATTAGGGCGAGGGACATAACGCGTGCGCGCATAATTTTCACAAAAACATCCAACATCCTAAATTAATGACACGCAGTATGCCTAGTAACGTAGTAGCTGCTTTCTCTGTGGATTAACAATAACACAGTATGAGATACTCTTATTCATTTAACTTATATTATTATTTCAGACATATGGTGCACGTAAAGATCATGTGTGAGATGCTGTTCCAGAAATAGAATTGTGTGATCCGTGACTACAGATATACAAATAATACATTGATATCTGCGATGATTTAAATATATAGGGAAGACATTGTGAATTTATTATGTGCAGGGTTGAGTGTTCACTTCGTCTTTCTCAAAATGGGCTAATACAAGAAATCTCTTTGTTCTGTGTTTAACTTATTGACGGTGTCAATTGCCTAATGAAAAGGCTACAATCACTACAAGACAAGTGTCGTACAATGCTTTTGGGATGATTGCTATAAATTTTGGTGAGATCTTAATTTTGTTGATGTTGTTTAACTTTTTTCAGTTTTCCAGATCGCATGTTTTATTTATTTGATAACTTAACTAAATGAAATTCCTTAACGAACAAGACCAACACACTACACGTTAGTCGTTAATGAGTATTGTTTAATCAATTGTGCAGCAAAAGTGTTGCTTGCTGTACTCGGGAATTCAAAGAGATACGTTCAGTGTTAGAATAAAATATATTGATTATTAATGTTATTGTTTACAGGATTAAATTATACTCATGAGGATGGAAAAAATAGCATAACAGTACAATAACGAAGCTGTTATTGATGAAGAAGATAACTAATCTCGTAAGGAACGGGATGGTATCTGCATATATATTTCTCCTTTTGGCCCATGTTACATTGCAAAATGTTCAAACTGAAGGTGAGATTAATAAAACTCGATATGGGGTTCCCGGTCAAGTGGTTTTATCTTACTATATATAAAGCAAGACGATATAATATATGGATGGATGGATGTGTTTATCCGTACCATTTTACTGACACCACGGCATCAACTTTAACGCGACTTTACGCAAAAAACCGTAAAAGATATACAACTGAAACTTTTTTGACTGGGTCAAAGGCTTTAATGGCCTCCAAATCAGCATAAATGAATAAGAAATAGGGGTTTTAGAGCCCAAAATTTGGACCCCCAAGTAGTGTCAAAAACGCGAATTAAATAAGGAATAATTTATTTAGTCTCTTGAGTCTTGACACCATTTTGGGGTTACCGTATACAGGTTCCTGAATTCACTTTAATGGCGTTTAACCCCCCCCCCCCCCTTCTGTTATCAGTTTCACTCAAAAGTAGTATCTTAAAATGACGTACTAGCGTAATCATTAAGAAACCCCCTGCCTCCCCTCAGTGATTGGGTAATATGTGAAAGACCCTTTATTAAAAGTGATTTAATTGAACAAAATTGTTGATATAACAAATCTTGGAATTTTACCATAATATTTTTTCTCATCTAACTGTCTCTTGGAAATTTAAGATTAATACGTCTTATAATGCCGTTCTCACAAATATAAATTCAAATTGACTTTGTGTAATTGATGTCCCTATGATGCTTAACCGTCGCTCTCTCAAATGTGATGACAATAAAACGAATAAATTAAATGAGAACTTAATTGAAACTGTTTTTACTCGCTCCTTATTTTGCTTTCAGTTTTTGAATATTTTTGACATTTAAGCTTTTAACGAACATTTTCGTGACAGTCCTCACAAATTAACTATACAATGAACATCTAAAATTGATAATTATTCACAGATCAGATCTCCACTTAGCGAATTTATGTTCCTTGTGAAAACTATAAGTTGCGGTAAAAGTATTTTTTTTAGTTTAAAAAAATTTAATTTTTATACAAGCTTCCATTCACGGGATAGCCCGCTCATGATGCTTCTCCAAGCTCACACAAGTGTCAGCAAGGAGGAAGATATTTATGCATTTCTGCACGATGATCAATGAGCCCATCAAAGCTACCAACGAAATTGTATTGTGATGATAACAATGGCGTTTCTTTTGTCGCTAATAGTAATATAAATGATGTCAGGAAATTTCTAAAAATTATTTGTGGAAATTAATTATTTTTCACAGATCTAACATTTCTAACTGTTATTTCTCTTCGGTACTTACAGAAGATTTAACAGGTTGGGCACCAGTGGAAGAGGATGGAACAACAACTGTCGTACTAAACGAAATGTTGTCAAACACAACCCAATTTGAAATAAAAACAAAACAGCATCTTGATGCCTCTGACATGATAGCTGTTGATTTTCTGTCCAGGGATCTAGAAAAGCTTGGCAGCATGACAATCGGACCAGCGGGTCTGAAATTTGAGATAATCTGTTCTGGAGATGGTAAAAAATTAAATGATCAATACCAAGACGGAATAATTGAAAGTGGAATCTGGTCCCTTCAGCTGAACAGTACGAGGCTGACAGTTCGATTCAATGGAGAGTATTTCTACATGTTTGACATATACGATGAGTGTGTCCCTAATGAGATAAAAGCAATTCAGTTTAAAGAGACTACTAACGGGGCCTCTCAGTTTTACAAAGGAAACAATATCACAGGTAAACAAGCAAAACCACACTTTTTAATCTCAAAACCAAATCTGATCACTGATTCTGTTTCAGATATGACATTCTGTGAACACGTCGTACACATGTGCTTAAAAATAAAAGGATCAATGGCCATATATAATTTATTCATCTTAAAGTATTGAAATACTCAGCATATTCTTTATTCTTTAACAATAGATCTTTTGCAGTTTTTAAAGAATGTCCAGCGGGAACTGTACCTAATGATGATTTGACAGAATGTGGTAAGTGGATACTGGATAAACCCACGATGAGATTCTTATCTGCAATATTCTTATCTTATTAATTTCTTTTCAACTCTCTTTCAATGAGATATCTTATTTATGATTGGTACCACTCCGCAGATGAATGTGCAGCGGGAACATACAGAGACGCACGCATGTCTTCCTGTGATAGTTGTGATGAGAACTCTGTCAGTACTGCAGGAGCATCTTCTTGCACTACTTGTAATGCTGGAAGGGTAGCTAATGATGATTCGACAGAATGTGGTAAGTTGATAAACCTACGATGAGATTCTTATCCCATTATTCTTATCTTATCTTATTAATTTCTTATCAATTCTCTTTCAAAAGAGATATTATCTTATTCATGATTGGTACCACTCCACAGATGAATGTGCAGCAGGAACATACAGAGATGCAGACATGTCTTCCTGTGATAGTTGTGATGAGAACTCTGTCAGTACTACAGGAGCATCTTCTTGCACTGCTTGTGATGCTGGAACTGTTGCTAATGATGATTCGACAGAATGTGGTAAGTTGATAAACCCACGATGAGATTCTTATCCCCACTATTCTTATCTTATCTTATTTATTTCTAATCAATTCTCTTTCAATAAAGATATTATCTGATTCATGATTGGTACCACTCCACAGATGAATGTGCAGCGGGAACATACAGAGAAGCAGGCATGTCTTCCTGTGATAGTTGTGATGAGAACTCTGTCAGTACTGCAGGAGCATCTTCTTGCACTGCTTGTAATGCTGGAAGGGTAGCTAATGATGATTCGACAGAATGTGGTAAGTTGATAAACCCACGATGAGATTCTTATCCCCACTATTCTTATCTTATCTTATTTATTTCTAATCAATTCTCTTTCAATAAAGATATTATCTGATTCATGATTGGTACCACTCCACAGATGAATGTGCAGCGGGAACATACAGAGAAGCAGGCATGTCTTCCTGTGATAGTTGTGATGAGAACTCTGTCAGTAATGCAGGGGCATCTTCTTGCACTGCTTGTAATGCTGGAAGGGTAGCTAATGATGATTCGACAGAATGTGGTAAGTTGATAAACCCACGATGAGATTCCTATCCCCGCTATTCTTATCTTATCTTATTAATTTCTTATCAATTCTCTTTCAAAAGAGATATTATCTTATTCATGATTGGTACCACTTCACAGATGAATGCGCAGCGGGAACATACAGAGATGCAGACATGTCTTCCTGTGATAGTTGTGATGAGAACTCTGTCAGTACTGCAGGAGCATCTTCTTGCACTGCTTGTAATGCTGGAACTGTAACTAATGATGATTTGACAGAATGTGGTAAGAGGATAAACCCACGATGAGATTCTTCTCCCCACTATTCTTATCTTATCTTATTTATTTCTTATCAATTCTCTTTCAATAAAGATATCTTATTCATGATTGGTACCACTTCACAGATGAATGCGCAGCGGGAACATACAGAGATGCAGACATGTCTTCCTGTGATAGTTGTGATGAGAACTCTGTCAGTACTGCAGGAGCATCATTTTGCACTGCTTGTAATGCTGGAACTGTAGCTAATGATGATTCGACAAAATGTGGTAAGTTGATAAACCCACGATAAAATTCTAATCCCCACTATTCTTATCTTATCTTATTTATTTCTTATCAATTCTCTTTCAAAAACAAATTATCTTATTTATGATTGGTACCACCCACCAGATGAATGTGCAGCGGGAACATACAGAGACGCACACATGTCTTCCTGTGATAGTTGTGATGAGAACTCTGTCAGTACTGCAGGAGCATCTTCTTGCACTGCTTGTGATGCTGGAACTGTTGCTAATGATGATTTGACAGAATGTGGTAAGAGGATAAACCCACGATGAGATTCTTATCCCCACTATTCTTATCTTATCTTATTTATTTCTTATCAATTCTCTTTCAATAAAGATATCTTATTCATGATTTGTACCACTCCGCAGATGAATGTGCAGCGGGAACATACAGAGAAACAGACATGTCTTCCTGTATTAATTGTGATGAGAATACTGTCAGTAATGCAGGAGCATCTTCTTGTACTGCTTGTGATGCTGGAACTGTAGCTAATGATGGTTCGACAGAATGTGGTAAGTTGATAAACCAACGATAAAATTCTTATCCCCACTATTCTTATCTTATTTATTTCTTATCAATTCTCTTTCAAAAAAGATATTATCTTATTCATGATTGGTACCACTCCACAGATGAATGCGCAGCGGGAACATACAGAGACGCACACATGTCTTCCTGTGATAGTTGTGATGAGAACTCTGTCAGTACTGCAGGAGCATCTTCTTGCACTGCTTGTAATGCTGGAACTTTAGCTAATGATGATTCGACAAAATGTGGTAAGTTGATAAACCCACGATAAAATTCTAATCCCCACTATTCTTATCTTATCTTATTTATTTCTTATCAATTCTCTTTCAAAAAAAAATTATCTTATTTATGATTGGTACCACCCAACAGATGAATGTGCAGCGGGAACATACAGAGACACACACATGTCTTCCTGTGATAGTTGTGATGAGAACTCTGTCAGTACTGCAGGAGCATCTTCTTGTACTGCTTGTAATGCTGGAACTGTAGCTAATGATGATTTGACAGAATGTGGTAAGTTGATAAACCCACGATGAGACTCTTATCCCCACTATTCTTATCTTATCTTATTTATTTCTTATAAATTCTCTTTCAAAAAAGATATTATCTTATTCATAATTGGTACCACTCCGCAGATGAATGTGCAGCAGGAACATACAGAGAAGCAAGCATGTCTTCCTGTGATAGTTGTGATGAGAACTCTGTCAGTACTGCAGGAGCATCTTCTTGCACTGCTTGTGATGCTGGAACTGTTGCTAATGATGATTCGACAAAATGTTGTAAGTTGATAAACCCACGAAAAGATCATTATCAGCAATATTCACTTGCCAGGCATCCTTTCAAAAGAATGCGTGGCAAGTGAATAAATAGACTCCTCTTTGATTGCATGTAAACTATGCAGAGATAAAATTATCAGTAACAATGCAATGAAAATTTTGCAGTTTTGGGAGAATGCTCAGCGGGAACTGTAGCTAATGATGATTTGACAGAATGTGGTAAGTGGATAAACCCACGATATGATTCTTATCTGCAATATTCTTATCTTATTAATTTCTTATCAATTATCATTCAATAAAGATATCTTATTTATGAATTGTACCACTCCGCAGATGAATGCTTAGCAGGAACATACAGAGATGCAGACATGTCTTCCTGTGATAGTTGTGATGAGAACTCTGTCAGTACTGCAGGAGCATCTTCTTGCACTGCTTGTAATGCTGGAACTGTAGCTAATGATGATTCGACAGAATGTGGTAAGACGATAAACCCACGATGAGATTCTTATCTCAAATATTCTTCTCTTATTTATTTCTTATCAATTCTCTATCAATAAAGATATCTTATTCATGATTTGTACCACTCCGCAGATGAATGTGCAGCGGGAACATACAGAGAAGCAGACATGTCTTCCTGTGATAGTTGTGATGAGAACTCTGTCAGTACTGCAGGCGCATCTTCTTGCACTGCTTGTAATGCTGGAACTGTAGCTAATGATGATTCGACAAAATGTGGTAAGTTGATAACCCACGAAAAAATTCTTATCGCCACTATTCTTATCTTATCTTATTTATTTCTTATCAATTCTCTTTCAATAAAGATATCATATTCATGATTTGTACTACTCCACAGATGAATGTGCAGAGGGAACATACAGAGAAGCAGACATGTCTTCCTGTGTTAATTGTGATGAGAACTCTGTCAGTACTGCAGGAGCATCTTCTTGCACTGCTTGTAATGCTGGAACTGTAGCTAATGATGATTCGACAGAATGTGGTAAGTTGATAAACCCACGATGAGATTCTTATCTCCAATATTCTCATCTTATCTTATTAATTTCTTATCAATTCTCTTTCAAAAGAGATATTATCTTATTCATGATTGGTACCACTCCACAGATGAATGTGCAGCAGGAACATACAGAGACACACACATGTCTTCCTGTGATAGTTGTGATGAGAACTCTGTCAGTACTGCAGGAGCATCTTCTTGCACTGCTTGTAATGCTGGAACTGTAGCTAATGATGATTCGACAGAATGTGGTAAGTTGATAAACCCACGATGAGATTCTTATCCCCACTATTCTCATCTTATCTTATTAATTTCTTATCAATTCTCTTTCAAAAGAGATATTATCTTATTCATGATTGGTACCACTCCACAGATGAATGTGCAGCAGGAACATACAGAGACACACACATGTCTTCCTGTGATAGTTGTGATGAGAACTCTGTCAGTACTGCAGGAGCATCTTCTTGCACTGCTTGTAATGCTGGAACTGTAGCTAACGATGATTCGACAGAATGTGGTAAGTTGATAAACCCACGAAAAGATCCAATTAAACAAATAATCAATTAAACAAATAATCAAAGTTTTAGCACATTTTACAGCATAAAATTTAAACAAATGAAAACATATAATGCTCTTAGTGGTAAATGGCCGTTTGTTCTGAGCTGTATGATTTTTTGACAATCAACTAGCGGGGCAAGGAATGTACTGGCTGGTAGCTTTTGTACACACCAGAACGCTAGTCTGGTTGATTAGTGACCAAATTAGAGGCGTTGATAGGAAGGCATTATAATTTGTGGGTGTAAGAGGGAATATTTGGCATGCATTATTCTAGCAGCTATTTTGTAACAAATGGTCTTTACGATTATTAAGGACGGTAAGTATTTTGGGTGTTCAATACTAAATCATGGCTAAATGTCTAAGTGGGGGTTTAAATTTAAGGGAGAAAAAGAAATGAATATTGGGTTATAATATTAATCATAGAAGTCAACCCTGATATAACTATTGTACTAAAAATTTGATCATTATGCTTAGGGTCTTTATTAGAATTCAAATTGGATACAAAAATAGGATCTCTTTACACTACACTTACTCACTCACACATCACATTTAACTTGACAGAGGAATACGCTGGCAGAGTAAGTCGATTTGGTCATGAAATTTTGGAGGTCAGGTGGAATCCCTGCAGGAGCCTACGAAAATTTAAGGTTACAAATATCAAAGTCTTTATTTGTCCAGTCATACACGGCATGACAATGCTGGTTGGAAAGTAGTGAAGATTTCAGTTTGGATTTCAGGCAAGAAATACTAACAGAACAATCAAAGATTTTAAGGTTAGGGGTTATTATATTCCATATTTTCGTTGACCTCGTGTTATGGTTGTCTGGGGGATCCGGTTTATTGATAATAAGCATTGGTTTCCTGGAAGAACGAGAATACTCTTCGTACATAGACATAGGAGTAGAAAACTTCATGATCTTGAATAATTCTATGTAGCTATGGTAAGTATAAAGATTTTGTACAGTGAGTATCTCGTTGTTTTTAAACAGAGGTTTAGTGTGCTCCTTTTTATAAAATTTACTATCAAGTTTCTGGTCAGTAAATGGTCTGGTTCGAACACACGTTTTGAATTTATCCAGGTAGGCTGCTCTATCACCAAACAGGACCCTCAGACAGTACTTCTGTGCAGTGAATATTGAGCTTATACGATTTTTAGCTGCCCCACCCGTGCTGATATGCAGTACGACAGATGGGATTCAAAAAGAGTGTAGTATAACTGTCTGTGGAGAAATTCTGGGAGGGAGCAGCGTAGACGACACAGAGTTGAGGTGGCATGGTTAAGCTTTCGTTTTAGGGCTATTATATGTTCTTCCCATGTTAGATTTTCGTCAATGACGACTCCTAAAAATCTAGCTGACGTTACTCTTTTGATGGGGTAGTTGTCTATATTCATTATGAATTCTTCTTCAACGTTTGCTTCAGTACGTGACTTAGGTCTAAAGTGAATGTAGCAGCATTTTGACATGTTTATGTGAAGCTTGTTAGCCCGCATGTATGTTTGAAGGTTTGAAAGTAGGGCGTTGCTGCGTTCATATGCTTCTTGTGCAGTTTTACCAACAACAAATATGTTGGTGTCATCCGCAAAGGTGACAAACGATCCCAAGCTAGAGCTATTAGAGATATCATTTATGTAAAGTAGGAATAAAAGGGGTCCGAGAATTGACCCCTGGGGAACCCCAAATTTTATTGGAAGTAGGTCAGACTTTTCTCCTACAACATCAGTGTACTGAAATCGATTAGTTAGGTAGCTCTTGATCAGATCGTTTGCCACGCCACGGATGCCATACCTTTCTAGTTTGGTAAGTAATGTTGAGTGATCTATAGTATCGAAAGCTTTGCTGAGGTCGATGAATATGCCTAACACATGGTGCTTCAATTTGATGTGCTTAGATATGAGGTCAACAGAGTAGTTTACTGCATGGGAGGTTGAGTGCGATTGCCTGAAACCAAACTGAGTCTTAGATATTATTCCCTGAGAGCTGACAAACGAATAAATCCTAGAATATATGATTTTCTCAAATATTTTGCCAAATATGGACAAGGTGGATATAGGACGGTAGTTTTCTATTTCTTCTGGATTACCTTTTTTGAAGACGGGTGTGATTCTGCCAGTCTTAAGTATATCAGGGAATATACCATTTGACATAAGTTTGTTTAAGTATCTGCTGATAATTGGTGCAATAACGTGGGACGAAGTTTTAATAACGGTTATGGGAATATCACTGGCCTTTCCATTCTCGAATTCTTTGATTATTCTTAGAACCTCCTCAGGAGTGCTGTCCTCTAACATAATAGATCGAGAGTTACTAGGGCTAAGGAAGTCATGGAATGTTTTCATGGGGAGAATTGGAATACCAGAAGACAAGTCAGTTGTGATAGTTTCATTGAGCTTGGGAGCAATTGATACAAACCAGGAATTAAAACCATTGGCAATTGCTCTCCGGTTCAAGATTCTTTCATTATTGATGATGAAAGGTGGTTTGGTTGTTTTCTTTCTTTTGCCCCTAAGCTCATTTATTATCTGCCAAGTTTTCTTACTGCTTTCAATGTTTTTATAGATTTCGTTACAGTAATAGGAGCGTTTGGCTGCCTTTATGATACCCTTAAGCATCCTACGATAGTCACTAAATGTCTTATAAAGAAGGACATTGCCAGATGGATCTTTATTTGTTACTGTATCTGACCATTCTTTACAAAGCTCATGTTTTCTGTCGATTGAGAGGATGATTCCATCTGTAATCCAAGGATTAAGCTTTGGTGTTCTTTTGGTCGTTTTCGGTACTTCTAATTTACAGTGCTTGTCAAGGGTGGATTTGAAGCAATCGACAAATTCGCAAAAATCTGAAGATTGGGACAGCTGATTCACCTTCACCTCAAGGTCAGAAACAAAATTTTTAAGCTTGGCACTTGAGTAGTCGTAGTAGCGGACATGTTTTTCATTGTTCTTATTTCTTGGGGCCGGGGTTGAGGTGAAGGAGAATATGAACGTGTGTTCACTTAATCTATCCTGAAGTACACCAGAGAGCAAAACATTATCAATATCACTAACTAGGATGTTATCTATACACGAGTTTTTACAATTAGGCCGGAAGTGGGTAGCAATTGAGATGGATGGATACAAACCATTACTAATTATAGTGTCTTCAAATAACTGGTTGTGTGACGAAACTTTGAAGAGGTCTGAGTTAAAGTCGCCAAGCAAACGAAAGGGCTTGCCGGATATCTGCTTAGCAATGGTTTGTAAAGTTTCACAAAAAGCCTCAAGGCAGCCACTAGGGGGACGGTATACAACTCCGTAGACAACCCCAACACCAGTGCTATCAGTGATTTCAGCGAATAAGCATTCAATGTTTACAGTACAGTAGGATAACTTTTCTAGGACAACAGTGTTAAGGTTGTCTGAGACATAAAGCGCAACCCCAGTGCCCTTTTTCTTATCTGGGAGGGTATTTTGGGAGGGTATTCCCTATATGTAATATTCACTTACCAGGCATCCTTTCAAAAGAATGTGTGGCAAGTGATAATAGATTCCTCTTTGATTGCATGTAAACTATGCAGAGATACAATTATCAGTAACAATGCAATGTAAATTTTAAGTTGATAAACCCACGATATGATTCTTTTCTGCAATATTCTTATCTTATCTTATTAATTTCTTATCAATTATCTTTCAATGAAGATATCTTATTGATGATTTGTACCACTCCGCAGATGAATGTGCAGCGGGAACATACAGAGAAGCAGGCATGTCTTCCTGTGTTAATTGTGATGAGAACTCTGTCAGTACTGCAGGAACATCTTCTTGCACTGCTTGTAATGCTGGAACTGTAGCTAATGATGATTCGACAGAATGTGGTAAGTTGATAAACCCACGATAAGATTCTTATCCCCGATATTCTTCTCCCATTTATTTCTTCTGAAATTTTTATAGGACTGGTCCACAGTGTGAACAGATTCCAGATTTATATCTTTTTAAACTGATATTTAATAAATGATTAAAGGAACCAATTTTAAAGTTGCCATATTAAAACCTTTAGGCCCAAAAATATACCCATTATACTCACTCAAAAACAACTCTAAATCAGTAGGCTGTCACTCTGTTAATGCACCACACCGCTCCCTCCACTGCACTAAAAGTTATACAATAAATTCTACAATCCTTATTTTGTATCGTGATGGAGACCAGTGTCCATACAAAACATTTACTAGGTTGCCGTTTGGTGTGAACAATAGCGAACAGCACGCACACTCCTTTGCCCCGTCAACCTATATCTAATCTATTTAAAGAGTGACAACCATACTACACATTGAATTAGGATTCCTTTGAATATCAAATTGATTTATTGTAAACTTGTTTACTCTGTAATAAATGGCATAAAATTGAAATTTTTGTTTAACTGAAATTTTTGTTTAACTGAATAAAGATGTCTTATTGATGATTGGTACCACTTCACAGATGAATGTGCAGCGGGAACATACAGAGAAGCACACATGTCTTCCTGTCTTAGTTGTGATGAGAACTCTGTCAGTACTGCAGGAGCATCTTCTTGCACTGCTTGTAATGCTGGAACTGTAGCTAATGATGATTCGACAGAATGTGGTAAGTTGATAAACCCACGAAGATATTCTTATCCACACTATTCGTATCTTATTTATTTCTTATCAATTCTTTTTCAATAAAGATATCATATTTATGATTTATACCAATGCAATCCGCAGATGAATGCGCAGCGGGAACATACAGAGACGCACACATGTCTTCCTGTGATAGTTGTGATGAGAACTCTGTCAGTACTGCAGGAGCATCTTCTTGCAATGCTTGTAATGCTGGAACTGTAGCTAATGATGATTCGACAGAATGTTGTAAGTTGATAAACCCACGATGAGATTCTGATCCCCACTATTCTTATCATATTTATTTCTTATCAATTCTCTTTCAAAAAAAGATATTATCTTATTCATGATTGGTACCGCTCCACAGATGAATGCGCAGCGGGAACATACAGAGACGCACACATGTCTTCCTGTGTTAGTTGTGATGAGAACTCTGTCAGTACTGCAGGAGCATCTTCTTGCACTGCTTGTGATGCTGGAACTGTTGCTAATGATGATTCGACAGAATGTTGTAAGTTGATAAACCCACGAAAAGATCATTATCAATCAATATTCACTTGCCAGGCATATTTTTAAACGAATGCGTGGCAAGTGAATATATGGGCAATTCCACGATAACGGTAACCAGTAACAAAATAATAAAGTTTGGAGGTGGTTTGGGAGAGATAGAAAATCTTGACCATATTTTCAGGGGCAAAAAACCGTTTGTTGATATCTAGCCTAGTTTAAAAACTGTAGCGCGTCAAAGTTGGCTTAAATTTAGTGTATCTTTAGTGTGAATATCCAGTTATTTTCCGAAAGATTTTAGGGAGCTTTATTAATCGTAGAATTCAATATTTTATCCTGTATATCAACCTAGTGGGCTTCAGATAGAAGGCCAGCCTAATTTTGAGGGCCAAATTTCTTTACTTTTTGAGTGTCTTATGATCAAATTTTTCCTCTTCGCGTGTGAATTACGCTACCAAATAGTGAAAAATGTTTTACTGTGGCTACACTATAAGTCTGTTTGATTCGAAACTCTCTCTCTAACGGCAACTTTAGTCATCTATAAAGGTCAGAAAATTTCATTCGTTTTGTCACACTGGAAGTGCAAAAAGTAGGGGTAGTGTAATTCACAGGTAGCGTAATTCACAGCTTGGTAGTGTAATTTACACAGCGGAAAATTAATAAAACAAGTGGTTTAAATGCTTTGTTGTGAAATAAATTGTACTTTCAATACTTCCTGGGCAATTCTAGGGACCTATTTTCAACAACTGCCTGAAAGTGTTGGTAATTTTATCGAAATTAGGGTTCCGCCAGGGCAAAATGTGCCACTTTTAGACCTTAAATCGCAAAAATAATGATTTTTAAATGGATTAGGACATCAAAATTGATTTGAAAGTGTTTTATAGTCACTGTTAGGTCTGGGAACACTTATTTGAGTAATTTAAAGGCTTATTTTCAGAAAATATCAGCAATTTGGGGCTAAAATTACTTTATTTTCTTGTCACGTAACTAAATTTTGCTCAAAAGAGCAGTGTTTTTGCCCCAAAAATTCTAATTTTTATCGAAAACCATGTATAGAGGTATCAAATTAAAGCTCTTGATGACCTCTTCACATTAAAAACACAAAGAAGTAGTTTAGAATTGATATAAGTGATGAAATGGTCTAAAAATGGATTCAAAAAGTTCTAAATTTCACCCAATTTCTGTCTAATCATGAACCTTTGACTCTTTGAGAGCTCATAAAAAATCATGCCACAATATTACACTGTACATTTTTCTAGGGTTACTCTAAATATTCTATACTTACAGATAAATCAACTTATAGATGCTTACCAAAGTTAATTTGCAACTTATTTTTGTAGTTTGTCCTAAAAAATGGCAAAAAATTGCCAAAAAATGCAATTTTTGACAAAAAATGAGGTTAAATTAATATTTGAGGTCAAATATCCATTTAATCACTCTAAAAACCTTTTTAAACGTTATTTTGGGGCAAGATTATCTTACAACTTGTATCCCATTTGCAAATAGTTCACTATAGTTCAAAACTTGTTAAGTATTAAAATGTAATTGTCAAATAATACGGTGAACTTTTCTACAGATAGTAATCATTTAGGTTTGAATCTGTACAGCTTCTTGGCGGTTAGATCAATAAAAGTATGTTAGGATCAAACTTTCATTGCGATAATATAATCTATTTGCTTCATTTTTTCAGTTGTTGCAGTATGTGAAGCTGGAAACTTCAGTAATGGATCTGCAACCTGTTCTGAATGTAAAGCTGGAAAATTCAGTGCTGCTGGATCTGCAACATGTTCTGAATGTGAAGCAGGAAAATTCAGTGCTGCTGGATCTGCAACATGTTCTGAATGTGAAGCAGGAAAATTCAGTGCTGCTGGATCTGCAACATGTTCTGAATGTGAAGCTGGAAAATTCAGTGCTGCTGGATCTGCAACATGTTCTGAATGTGAAGCAGGAAAATTCAGTGCTGCTGGATCTGCAACATGTTCTGAATGTGAAGCTGGAAAATTCAGTGCTGCTGGATCTGCAACATGTTATGAATGTGAAGCAGGAAAATTCAGTGCTGCTGGATCTGCAACATGTTCTGAATGTGAAGCTGGAAAATTCAGTTCTGCTGGATCTGCAACATGTTCTGAATGTGAAGCAGGAAAATTCAGTGCTGCTGGATCTGCAACATGTTCTCAATGTGAAGCAGGAAAATTCAGTTCTGCTGGATCTGCAACCTGCTCTGAATGTGAAGCAGGGAAGTACAGTAATGTTGGATCTGCAACCTGTTCTGAATGTGAAGCAGGGAAATACAGTGCTGCTGGATCTGCAACCTGTTCTGAATGTGAAGCTGGGAAATATAGTGCTGCTGGATCTGCAACCTGTTCCAAATGTGAAGTAGGAACATTCAGTGCTGCAGGATCTGATTCTTGCAGCACTTGCGGGATAGGAAAAGAAACTAACACTGATAAAACCAATTGTGGTGAGTATTGGGATTTGAACTGTCACCTAATAGTTGTTACTTGTTTATATGATTTTATCGATCAATATCAAATCAGAACTTGAAAGGTAACGTCCAGATTGATTAAGTGCAATATTACTCAGTTACAAGAGCCATTCATAATCAGGGTAATGATTTATTTTACAATAGAAATTGAACCAACTGCAGGCAACTGTTGTTGATAACCTTTCTACTTTCTAGTGTCCTGTCCGGCGGGTACCTACAAAGACAGTTCTATGGCAGGAGCATCTTCTTGCACTGCTTGTAATGCTGGAACTGTTGCTAATGATGATTCGACAGAATGTTGTAAGTTTATAAACCCATGATGAGATTCTGATCCCCACTATTCTTATCTTATTTATTTCTTATCAATTCTCTTTCAAAAAAAGACATTATCTTATTCATGATTGGTACCACTCCACAGATGATTGCACAGCGGGAACATACAGAGACGCAGACATGTCTTCCTGTGATAGTTGTGATGAGAATACTGTCAGTACTGCAGGAGCATCTTCTTGTACTGCTTGTAATGCTGGAAGGGCAGCTAATGACGATTCGACAGAATGTGGTAAGTTGATAAACCCACAATAAGATTCTTATCTCCGATAATCTTATCTTATCTTATTTCTTATCAATTCTCATTTTAATTAAGATATCTTATTTATGATTGGTACCACTCCGCAGATGAATGCTTAGCAGGAACATACAGAGATGCAGACATGTCTTCCTGTGAAAGTTGTGATGAGAACTCTGTCAGTACTGCAGGAGCATCTTCTTGTACTGCTTGTGATGCTGGAACTGTAGCTAATGATGATTCGACAGAATGTTGTAAGTTGATGAACCCAAGAAAAGATCATTATCAGCAATAATAATAATTTTTAATTTAATTTTAATTTAATTTGTAAAGTTCGTAGATTCCTCTACAGGGTCATCGAATAGTTCGACCGCCCTTGTTTTACAGTACACTACATTGTAGATGTTCTGAAGGAGTATCCTAAGATTCTTGATCTTTTGGCACAGGCACCCCTCCTCATTTAACCCTCAATCAAGTTTCCTATCATTCGGCTGAGTCGACCGAGGATCTCACATAGATACAATGAATCCTTAGCTACTCCCTAGACTGAGTGAAACTGGGATTCGAACCCTGAACCTTCTGTACAGAAGGCGGAAGCTCTAACCACTAGGCCACCCAGCAATATTCACTTGCCAGGCAAATTTTCAAACCAATGCGTGGCAAGTGAATATATATTATATAGACTCCTCTTTGATTGCATGTAAACTATGAACAGATAAAATTATCAGTAACAATGCAATGAAAATTTTGCAGTTTTGGGAGAATGCTCAGCGGGAACTGTAGCTAATGATGATTTGACAGAATGTGGTAAGTGGATAAACCCACGATATGATTCTTATCTGCAATATTCTTATCTTATTAATTTCTTATATTTGTATAAAGATATCTTATTTATGATTTGTACCACTCCGCAGATGAATGCTTAGCAGGAACATACAGAGACGCACACATGTCTTCCTGTGATAGTTGTGATGAGAACTCTGTCAGTACTGCAGGAGCATCTTCTTGTACTGCTTGTAATGCTGGAACTGTAGCTAATGATGATTCGACAGAATGTGGTAAGTTGATAAACCCACGATAAGATTCTTACTTCCAATATTCTTCTCTTATTTAATTCTTATGAATTCTCTTTCAAAAAAGATATTATCTTATTTATGATTTGTACCACTCCGCAGATGAATGCGCAGCGGGAACATACAGAGAAGCAGACATGTCTTCTTGTGTTAGTTGTGATGAGAACTCTGTCAGTACTGCAGGAGCATCTTCTTGCACTGCTTGTAATGCTGGAACTGTAGCTAATGATGATTCGACAAAATGTGGTAAGTTGATAAACCCACGATAAGATTCTTATCCCCAATATTCTTATCTTATCCTATTTCTTATCAATTCTCTTTCAATAAAGATGTCTTATTGATGATTTGTACCACTCTGCAGATGAATGTGCAGCGGGAACATACAGAGACGCACACATGTCTTCCTGTGATAGTTGTGATGAGAATACTGTCAGTACTGCAGGAGCATCTTCTTGCACTGCTTGTAATGCTGGAACTGTAGCTAATGATGATTTGACAGAATGTGGTAAGAGGATAGACCCAGTACCCACGATGAGATTCTTATCCCCAATATTCTTATCTTATTAATTTCTTATCAATTCTCTTTCAATAAAGATATCTTATTTATGATTTGTACCACTCCGCAGATGAATGCGCAGCGGGAACATACAGAGAAGCACACATGTCTTCCTGTGTTAATTGTGATGAGAACTCTGTCAGTACTGCAGGAGCATCTTCTTGTACTGCTTGTAATGCTGGAACTGTAGCTAATGATGATTCAACAGAATGTGGTAAGTGTTTAAGTGAATACGGAAGATCATATTTTAAATTATATAGCGTAATTTAAAATTATTGAACGATTCTATTGACGACTTTCTATAAACCTCATCATTCAACAAAACAGAAACTGAAAAGCATCACCCAGAAAATTGAATCCTCTAGCTCTGGTGGCTATTACTGCTTCAAAAATGTAATTTTCCTCAGTTAACTGCAAGCGAGGAACATACAGATCAAGTAGCATGGTGTCATGTGAACCCTGTCCGGGCAATGTGTACGAACAGGAGAAGGCAACCCAGTGCAAAGTTATTGCAAAGGTTACAGTTAAAGGTAAAATATCTGCTGTTATACATATTTCTACCTACACTAGTATTTTAAAAGTAGCTTACTTTGTGTCGGGTAATATTGATGTAGGAGACAATTTGGAAAGTGAAGTTAAACAAAAGTTTGATTAACGATTACAGTCATATCGTGGTGATTGCTTGGTGACGTATATGTGGACCCCCCCCCACTTTATATGCATCTAACAAGATAACTGATAGTTTCAGAGTGTGAAACTAGAATTGAAACCAGTGTGGTCTATGGAACGTACACTTGGACAGCTACAGATCCAGAAATACACGCAGAACTGCCATGTTTATATGATGTGAGCACTAATAGTTGGTGTGATTAAGATAACTTAATAAATTAATATTCTGGCTCCTCTTACTTGGCCTAGGAACATAGTATATTATAGTGATAATGTATAACCCAGGGTAAGTTTAAAGCTCGCAAGTTCTGCACTGCAAGTGGATTATTCAGTGAGACAGACTTTTCAGAGTGCCCTTCTGCTGTTTCAACAATAGTCAGTGACCTGTTGCAGGTATAATATTAATTGTCTGCAATGTTCAGTGACCTGTTGCAGGTATAATATTAATTGTCTGCAATGTTCAGTGGGTTCTTTTGCGATAGTCAAAACGCGACAACTAGCGCTGGATGGCGACAACTAGCGCTATCCAGCGCTAGTTGTCGCCATCCAGCGCTAGTTGTCGCTATCCAGCGCTGGATAACGCTGGCCAGCGCTAAATATATTTGTTCGATAATTGTCGCTATCCAGCGCTAGTTGTCGCCATCCAGCGCTAGTTGTCGCCATCCAGCGCTAGTTGTCGCCATCCAGCGCTGGTTGTCGCTATCCAGCGCTAGTTGTCGCTGGCTATGCGACACTGTCGCACGCGATAGTTTGCGATGGCCAGCGCAACTGGCCATCGCAGAAAACAGTTCGATAACTAGCGCGCTGGCTAGCGCTGGATAGCGACAACTAGCGCTGGATGGCGACAACTAGCGCTGGCCAGCGATTGTTGTCGCTATCCAGCGCTAGCCAGCGCTGGCCAGCGCTGGCCAGCGCTAACCAGCGCAAAGTATCAATTTTTGATAAATTTTCGATAATTTTCGCGACAAATAGCGCTGGATAGCGACAACTAGCGCTGGCCAGCGCTGGCCAGCGCTAAGCGATAGCCAGCGCTGGCCAGCGCTGGCCATCGATAGCCAGCGCAACATTTTTGCGATATTATTCGTCAGCTAGCGCTGGCCAGCGCTATCCAGCGCTAACCAGCGCTGGCCAGCGCAATGTATCAAAATCATATACTTGCGATACTACTCGTCAGCTAGCGCTGGCCAGCGCAATGTATCAAAATCATAAACGTGCGATATTACTCGTCAGCCAGCGCTGGCCAGCGCAAAATTTTTGCGATATTATTCGTCAGCAAGCGCTGGCCAGCGCTATCCAGCGCTATCCAGCGCTAGCCAGCGCTGACCAGCGCTAGCCAACGCTAGCCAGCGCTTTGTATCACGTTGTGACACCCACGGTCGTTTCACTAGGTAAACCCCTTTATCGTCCTGACGATACCGGGGGAGCCGCGCACTTCGTGCGCGGCGGGTCATACAACGTATGACAACCAGCGCTAGCCAGCGCAATGTATCAAAATCATATACTTGCGATATTACTCGTCAGCTAGCGCTGGCCAGCGCAATGTATCAAAATCATAAACTTTCGATATTACTCGTCAGGCAGCGCTGGCCAGCACTAACCAGCGCTAGCCAACGCTATCCAGCACTGGCCAGAAACCCCCTCCCCCTCGATCAGCTGATTACGTAATATGTGATCGATCCCCATCCCAAAGTATCCGTTTTAAATATTTGCGATATCACATGTCGGCGCGCAGTTACTGTTAGCGCTAGCTAGGATCAATTACAAATTAGCTTACCTGGGGACCTCAAAATATTTTGTTCATATTAATCATAAACATATCCCGAATAGAGATTAGGCGAAATGACAGCAGACAGGCTGAGCATGGCCCAGTAAAATTAGTATAAAGGGTCGTTCACATATTACGCAATCAGATAGCTTGTATCACGTTGCGACCCCCACGGTCGTTTCACTTTATCGTCCTGACGATACAGGGGGGGCCGCGCACTTCGTGCGCGGCGGGTCATACAACGTATGACAACAGATAGCTGAGTGGGTTTTTCAAATGATGACCCTAATCTCTACTATTGACTATAATTCAGAGAATTATTTCTGATGTAGAATGTTTGTATGTACGACCGCCCACGTGCAAAACAAACGAAAAATATGAATTTAGGTAACAACCAAAACGTTCCATAGCAACGGTGTTTTAATGCGCACGTGCACGTGCAAAGATTGTTTTAACGTCATTTTGATCGGTTTTGTTGTTACTATGTTGTGTTTAAAGTGTTTTATATTTAAATCGGCTGTATCTTCGGTTAGGATGGATATTTTTTGATGCGATTAAAACTTTCTTTTAAAGAATACTACTAGCTTCGTCCCTGTTACCACGGGCTTTCTAGTCTCTACTATAATTCAAAGAATTATTTATGTAGAATGTAAAATGTATGTACGACCGCCCATGTGCAAATTAGATGAGAAATAGGAATTTTCATTGTAACCGTAGTAACTGGGGTTGTTTTACGCACGTGCACTTGTAGGTTAACAACCTACCAGGCTGGACGTTGTCATACGTTGTATGACCCGCCGCGCACGAAGTGCGCGGCCCCCCCTGTATCGTCACCACCCCCCCTGTATCGTCACCATAGTGAAACGACCGTGGGGGTCGCAACGTGATACAAGCTGGACGCGCGCCGAGTTGGAACAGATATTTTACGAGTATCACCCGTTAACTATAGTGCAAAGAAACTGCTGCTTAGTTAGCAGTTAGCCGAAGTTTATTTGCACTATGATCATTTTGTGCATCCAATAAGGTTTCCTGACCTTACTAGGATTCACGATCGAAAAGAGGGCCGCGCATAATATATATGTAATAGAATTTAGCGCGTTGAGTAAAGTCTGCTAATATAGCTGTGTATTGCATACTGAGCCACATACTGGGGACCGCAGGCTATCATCTTCATGAACACAGAAAATAGGAATGAGGCCAAATGACAAATTGAGCTTTACCTAGGGACCCCAGGCTACTATGTTTATAAACATAGAATAGAGATAAACATAGAATAGAGATCCCGCGGAATGACAGGCTGAGCGCCGCCCAGTAAGTTGAGCTCCGCCCAGCTAGTAAGCCAACGCAAGCTGACGATTGTAGATGTACGTTTATAACCGTTCCTTTACATATAAATGCGCACCGAGTTGGACTTGGATTTGAAAAAATATTTCCAATTTTACGAGTATCACCCGCGTTAAGCTGACAAGAAATATCGCAAATATATTGCGCTGGTCAGTCAGTGTCAGCTGACGATAAATGATATCGCTAATATTTCATTTTGGTATATTGCACTGGCCAGCACTAACCAGCGCTAGCCATCGATTAATATCGCAAATATTTGATTTTTATAACTTGCACTACCTAGCGCTGGTTGACGAGTAATATTGCAAGTATATGATTTTGATGCATTGCGCTGGCCAGTGATGGCCAGCGCTGGCTAGCGCTGGCCAGCGCTGGCCAGCGCTAGCTGACGAGTAATATCGCAAACATTTTGCGCTGGCTATCGATGGCCAGCGCTGGCTAGCGCTGGCTGACGAGTAATATCGCAATTATATGATTTTGATACATTGCACTGGCCAGCGCTAGCTGACGAGTAATATCGCAAACATTTTGCGCTGGCTATCGTCCGCTATCGATGGCCAGCGCTGGCCAGCGCTGGCTAGCGCTGGCTGACGAGTAATATCGCAATTATAATTATATGATTTTGATACATTGCGCTGGCCAGCGCTGGCTGACGAGTAATATCGCAAGAATATGATTTTGATACATTGCGCTGGCCAGCGCTAGCTGACGAGTAATATCGCAAGTATATGATTTTGATACATTGCGCTGGCCAGCGCTAGCTGACGAGTAATATCGCAAGTATATGATTTTGATACATTGCGCTGGCTAGCGCTGGCTAGCGCTGGATAGCGCTGGCCAGCGCTAGCTGACGAATAATATCGCAAAAATGTTGCGCTGGCTATCGATGGCCAGCGCTGGCTATCGCTTAGCGCTGGCCAGCGCTAGTTGTCGCTATCCAGCGCTATTTGTCGCGAAAATTATCGAAAATTTATCGAAAATTTAACAAAAATTGATACTTTGCGCTGGTTAGCGCTGGCCAGCGCTGGCCAGCGCTAGTTGTCGCTATCCAGCGCTATTTGTCGCGAAAATTATTGAAAATTTATCAAAAATTGATACTTTGCGCTGGCTAGCGCTGGCTAGCGCTGGATAGCGACAACAAGCGCTGGCCAGCGCTAGTTGTCGCCATCCAGCGCTAGTTGTCACTATCCAGCGCTAGCCAGCGCTGGCCAGCGCGCTAGTTATCGAACTGTTTTCTGCGATGGCCAGTTGCGCTGGCCATCGCAAACTATCGCGTGCGACAGTGTCGCATAGCCAGCGACAACTAGCGCTGGATAGCGACAACCAGCGCTGGATGGCGACAACTAGCGCTGGATGGCGACAACTAGCGCTGGATAGCGACAATTATCGAACAAATATATTTAGCGCTGGCCAGCGTTATCCAGCGCTGGATAGCGACAACTAGCGCTGGATGGCGACAACTAGCGCTGGATAGCGCTAGTTGTCGCCATCCAGCGCTAGTTGTCGCGTTTTGACTATCGCAAAAGAACCGTTCAGTGACCTGTTGCAGGAATAATATTAATTGTCTGCAATGTTCAGTGACCTGTTGCAGGAATAATATTAATTGTCTGCAATGTTCAGTGACCTGTTGCAGGAATAATATTAATTGTCTGCAATGTTCAGTGACCTGTTGCAGGAATAATATTAATTGTCTGCAATGTTCAGTGACCTGTTGCAGGTATAATATTAATTGTCTGCAATGTTCAGTGACCTGTTGCAGGTATAATATTAATTGTCTGCAATGTTCAGTGACCTGTTGCAGGTATAATATTAATTGTCTGCAATGTTCAGTGACCTGTTGCAGGTATAATATTAATTGTGCCTGCAACAGGAAAACCTGGTTGATCTTTGATTTATATCTAAATGTCGATAAGTTTAAACAAAACTAATTGTCCTGAAAATTGTATCGTCCAAGGAAATTGAGACTGGGTCTTCCGAAACCCAAGAAGAAATGTCTGATGAGATGAAGGACATGACGGCTGTTGAAGGGAGTAAGCTGAGTTCTTCCGATGTACAAAAAGTTTCCCTGAGTATAGACACATTGATAAATCTACCTGACTCTGAGCTATCAAACAATACTGTTGACAATCTCATATCTACGATAGATAACATTCAGACTAACACTGATGTGACAGAACTGCAAGACCAACAAGCCAGCGATGAACTGAGAGAATCTGCAGTTGCAATTATTCGTGCAGTTGCCCTTCAGAATAATAATGATGTGCTCAAAACAGAAGATTCGATAGGTAAACAGTTTTAAAGTAAAAAGTTTATAATGAAAACAATACCTTGGCTGTTGAGTGATAAGCGTGATAATAGCACTGCACGTAACTAAGCAAAGGTATTATTTGTTATAATTATGTGTGTAATGTATAGTGCGCAACTGTTATTTGTTTTGGTTAGCTTCCCCACTGCTTGTCAAGTCGACTGGCAGTTTGTGTTGATAATAATCTGGTAACCTTTGCGGGAAATATCAGTGCTCAGTGTTCACGACTTTTCGGGGGTCTAATTCCCGGAGATAAATATAAATATAATGCATATCTTTTTCCAGCAACATTTTAGTATAAAAGGAGGCTTAAAGCACTAGAGTAGGTATAATAGTTATTTTCTGACGAGTTAATTTGCACTGTGTGACTTACTTATACGGTTCGAAACCAATTCGGTGATACAAAAAATGTATCGAATTTGAAAATCGAATTTTGAAGGACATAACTGAACATAGCTACCAAGCTAAGCTACCTTTCTTATACTATTATAATATACTACTATACCTTCCTTACAGATAAGACATCTCTCAAACTATGTTTGAGGAAAAATTATTTTATATCAAGCAATACGTTAATTTGCACCAAAATGATGGAATAAAACCAAACATTATCAATTCAATATACTACCCAGTAACTGTTTCTACTTTTAGCGCTTGGTATAGCAGCTGTGGAAACCACAGACACGTCAAGGATGAAACAAATGCTGACTCTGGCAGGAGATTTGAATGTAGTTAAGGGGAGCACAAACCATAAAGATGATGCAAAAACTTTCTTCACGGTAAGCGTTTCTCATGTATGCATGTGAAAATATGGTAATGTTACTATGGTAACATGACCAAATATGGTACTATGGTAACATGACCAAATATGGTTATGGTACTATGGTAACATGACCAAATATGGCATTTATGTGTTTATCTACTAAGTCTTAGGCTGGGGGTTTATTTACAATTAGGTAAAAAAACAATGTTTTTATCAGGGCGAGCTTACAACGACAAAGGACGAGGTGCTTACTGTGGTATACTATGAGAACGATAAGTCATTCCCATCCAAAACTACCTCTCCAAAGTCCACAGATGAGAACATGTTGTTAAAAGAAGTTGCCCATTCGATAGTTCAAGTTGGCGTGGATAAGAAAGAAGGCGATGCAAGTACACCAGATGTGAGTGTGTTGAGGCAGGGGGGGGGGGGGGGGCGGGGGGGGGGGGCCTACGTGCACGGTGCCTGTGTGCGATGAGGCAGGGGGGCGGGGGGCCGGGCCTACGTGCCTGTGTGTGATGAGGCAGGTGGGGGGGGGGGGGGGGCCTGTGTGTGATGAGTAAAGATATTTTATTCTTCTTTAATTTAAAAGAAGCTTATACTGAATTAACTGGATTCTCATTATCACCTTCAAATAACACTAAAAATTAAAGGGGCTTTCGTTGGTGGCGAGTGTTATTGCAGACATCAACATAATAAGCAAGACCTCCTCCGAAATACTACCGCTGGAAGCACACCAAAATGTCACCATGACATTTAAAGTAACGGTTAGATTTTTGAAAAATTCAACTTCTGACTAGCCAAAAAGTTAATATTTGTCGTCGTATAAATAGGTTGTTTAGAAATCAATACAGTTGTCATTATATTCGCACCTTCAAAACAACTGATCAATGTAAATAAAGGATAAAGCCGAGAAAAAGGTGCTCAGCTTCTCTAAAAGGAAGACCATTGTTAGACAGAAGCTGACTTGTAGTTTCTACAACACTTCTCATACTGGTGCGTTATCTTTTATTTGCTATAAATGTGTTTTGTTTTGTTCAGGGAGCAGGCTTGCCACATAGGTCCGGGAGTTCTGAACGTTTAGGCAGGGTGCTAGGTTGTGGTACACACTCAACTAGGTAGTCTATATATGCACATTAGTAGGTATTTTAACAGGTAGGTAACAAAACAAGGCATCTCATTAGGACGGTGAAATCAAGGAGGAGTTTCATCTTGACACTCGTGTATTAGGAACCGACCGGATATCCGGCCGGTTCCTAATTAAGACCTCTCCTTCAGGTGAGCGAGGCTGGAGCGAGAAGGGCTGTGAGACCCGATCAGTCTTCAACGCAGAGACAGGAGTTACCGAAGTGAAATGTATTTGTGATCATCTCACTAGCTTTGCAGTTCTCATGGTTACTTAATTTTACTAATTTATTTTAGTTTTATATATAAATATATATATTTTTAATCCCAACAATTATATTTGTTCTTCGACTTAATTCTGCCAATTCTTCGCAAATTCAAAATTATTTATCGAGATAGTAATTGATTTTCCAACTCACATTTCAACTTGAAATCTGAGCAAGTATCTCGTGTCTAGCTTTTAGCACCGAACCAACTAAAGATAAAGTTGCAGACAACTGGCCATACTTGAAACCTTTACTAGGTTGCCGTTTACTTGAAACGTTAATTCATTTACAGTACTAAATTAGACAATAAATCAAAAACAGGACATTATTTATGAAACACCCTATATGTACCGTCACAATAGTGACTTTAATATGTTATTATTTACATTTCAGTCGTTCACCAGCGAGAGTAATGACAAGGAGGAGCTTGTGTCACTAGTTCTGCTGGCGTCTAGTCTCTTCTGTTTAGCACTTACTGCAGCTGCTATTCTTCCAAACAAGTAATCTTGCACTTACTGCAGCTGCTATTCTTCCAAACAAGTAATCTTGCACTTACTGCAGCTGCTATTCTTCCAAACAAGTAATATTGCACTTACTGCAGCTGCTATTCTTCCAAACAAGTAATCTTGCACTTACTGCAGCTGCTATTCTTCCAAACAAGTAATCTTGCACTTACTGCAGCTGCTATTCTTCCAAACAAGTAATCTTGCACTTACTGCAGCTGCTATTCTTCCAAACAAGTAATATTGCACTTACTGCAGCTGCTATTCTTCCAAACAAGTAATCTTGCACTTACTGCAGCTGCTATTCTTCCAAACAAGTAATCTTGCACTTACTGCAGCTGCTATTCTTCCAAACAAGTAATCTTGCACTTACTGCAGCTGCTATTCTTCCAAACAAGTAATCTTGCATTTACTGCAGCTGCTATTCTTCCAAACAAGTAATCTTGCACTTACTGCAGCTGCTATTCTTCCAAACAAGTAATCTTGCACTTACTGCAGCTGCTATTCTTCCAAAAAAGTAATCTTGCACTTACTGCAGCTGCTATTCTTCCAAACAAGTAATCTTGCACTTACTGCAGCTGCTATTCTTCCAAACAAGTAATCTTGCACTTACTGCAGCTGCTATTCTTCCAAACAAGTAATCTTGCACTTACTGCAGCTGCTATTCTTCCAAACAAGTAATCTTGCACTTACTGCAGCTGCTATTCTTCCAAACAAGTAATCTTGCACTTACTGCAGCTGCTATTCTTCCAAACAAGTAATCTTGCACTTACTGCAGCTGCTATTCTTCCAAACAAGTAATCTTGCACATAACAACTTCATCATTATCATTGCAGATCATAGAGATTGTATCATGCATATAATACGACAGCAAGTCAACTGTTGACTTAGTCAACATCCCATGATAAATACAATAGAATTGCTATCCTGGCTATATATATAGTAGTAGTAGTATGTAGTAATATAGATATAGTAGTACAGTAGTGCAGTGGAACAGGCATAACGAACTAAATATCACATTTACAGGAAATTGATGAAAATGAAGTCCCAGAAAATCAACCTGATGCTGGTTCTGGCTCTAATGCTCTCTATTGTGTTCTTCTTTTTAATGGATAGTTTTGTAGCTGCTGAAGAGGAAGCAAAACCTTCCATTCCTTGTTCCATTGTAAGTGCATATTAACACCACACTTCCGTATGGTATTGATTTTTACACTGCAAACGTTCGAGTTAACGATGTTTTGAAACGCCAATTAGTAAAAAAATGTCAAAAACATTTGTAACACATTTTTACCCTGTCAAAAGTATAGGTATATAACCTAACATTTAGCAAAATGAGTACTAACAACTACTAATTGTGTAGATAGCGTTCCTGTTGAACTACTTCTGGCTTTGCCAACTGAGCTGGATGGTGGTGGAAGCAGTTACCATGTACTTAGCCATGGTTAAAGTACTAGGGGTCTACATGAGCCACGCAATGCTGAAGTACAGTTTGGTAGGATGGGGTCTCCCAATCATTTTCCCTCTGATCGGGGTGGCTTGGGGTGGAGCTGACTTTGCAGATCCTAAGACGTAAATAATGGACTAACAGCCCAGTTCCACGGCTCAGTTTTGCGACCAGATTTGACACAAAACTCCGCGAAAAGAGTTTTGAAAGGCAAAACTCCGCGAAGGCAATTTTGAATTTCATTTCCGGTCTGACTTTGCAGATCCTAAGACGTACATAATGGACTTAAGGATAAATTTTACCTGATATTGTTAATACAACCTTTTCAATTTCGTGAAAATTTGCAATGTTTATCGGGCAAGTGTACAGTGGAGCAGGTATTCAGAATTAAGAACATTATATTATATTATTTAATACTGCTATATTATTTAATAGTTGAGCTAACAAGAGTACGTGTCAGGTGCTTTATCAAATACCCCTACGGTATTGCAACGTTCTACGGTCCAGTGGTACTAGGGGTGGTCATTAGTTGGGTCTTATTTGTCTTCATAGTCAAAGTTATTATGACTGCTATCAAGACCCAAGCTGAGAAAACGGACGAAGCTGAAATCAAAATGAGAACGGTTAGTGGCTACGGGATAGATCCTGATATTTGAGAATCTGTTCGTTAACAACTTGCACTGCTAATAATTCAAAGTCTAATCACAGTTATTTTGGTTCACAGAAGCAGGTAAAATCAGCACTAGCGGTGACAATTATTCTGGGTCTGAGTTGGATTGTTGGTTTCTTTCTTCTGATGAACAACTCCAACTATAGTACCATCAATGCGGTCTTCAGATGGCTCTTTATTGCACTAAATGCCCCACAGGTATTGTTATTTACGGTACATTGTTTAAATTTTTGGATATGTTGGTATGTCCTACAAGTATCTACTTTTAATGTATTACTTCAATATTATAGTAAACATTAACCAGTGTACCATCTCTTATATAATACATAAAATTACATTATATATAATACATAATATTACATTATATTACATTATATTACATTATATTACATTATATTACATTATATTACATTATATTACATTATATTATTATATTATATAATACATGATATTTCAGGGTGTTTTTATCTTCCTCTTCTACGTGGTACTAAAGGAAGATTGTGTAAAGTTCTGGATGGCAAAGTTCAGAATGATGGGGCAGTCCCTAACACACTCAGTACCATCGACCCAGTCTACTGGCTTCCATCCTGGCCACCACGACCACGGCCTTCACCCAGAACATGAACATGGTCACGGTCACGGTCATGGTCATGGTCATGGTCACGGTCATGGTCACGAGCATGTCCATGTTCATCATGGACATGGGCACATTCATGCTTTGGAGGACGCGCTGTAGAATAAACAAATAAACGATGTGATTCTGAAAAAACAAAAACAAAAAATATGTAACTTAATTCAAATGAAATGGATAGAAAAGTGCACAATCGGTACAGATATGATCAATACCAAGAAGTTGGTGATGGGTGAGGTGATGATAAATTACAACTTGTGATCTGAGTCAGGATTATCTAGCTTAACTGTTTACAAGTAGTGTTTGACTATAAAACATAGTGAACTTCATATATTATTATCTTACTCTTAGGGGTCGTTCACATAGTACACGGTAATCACTTTGTGGACATTTTTACCCCCCCCCCCCGGCCCCCCTCCTTAATCAGTTTTACACATAACTATTGTATCGAAATTACACTAGCGTAATCATTTCGAACCCCCCCCCCCCCCCCCCCCCCCCCCCCCCTCGGCTGATAACGTAATATGTAGACGACCCCTTGCTCTTAGAACATTGTACTTGTAATAGTGAACCTTAATTTGAGCGTTTGTATTGATGTTAAACTTGACTTTATAAATACAGTGTTATTTTGAATTTCTTGAGTTATTTGACAGTAAAATTACAATTCGTTAGTTAATATTTCTGATGTCACTAAACACATGCATCTTTAAAAATGTGATATTGTTGTCCTACGATTTACAATTTGAGGGTTTAGTTAACTGAACTGCGGCTATCATTCGAGTTTTTATTCCTAATACTTGCTGCTAAAAGTATAGAAACATATAGATTATTTCAAGATTTAAAACGTAGTGTCGTAAGAATACCACTTTACGATAAATCCAAATACTCCATGCTTTCTTGATTAAACATACTACCCCGGTAATAAACTTGTCAGCCCTTAAATAGCCTGCCGAAATGCGTGACTCAATCACGCGTGACTACAGAAAGTCCTTTACTTCCGCCCACTTACACGCAGTGCTGTAAAATGTAAAGATAAGTGCAACTAAAATCTAAATGAATGTAACCCTGCACTAAAAGGGCTCTAAAAGATGGAAAAAATACGATATTACTCTACCCTAGTGGACTGTAAGAATTAAATATAACTATTAATGCTTTTTAAACAAAGTTACAACGAATTCTTCATGTAGTGCATCATGGGTTTGGACAGGATATCCCCGTTTAAAATATTTCCATCACGTTACATTACATAATTCTCAATAAATGTAATAGATTTGTAGTGTTGTAATTAGTTTGATGATAACAACTGTACTAAAACCCTAAGAACCTAAATAAATACTTGACCCTAATAAATTGCCCATAATCCTACTTTACTACAACCCCCTTCAAACTTGTTGTCTGAAAAATGCAAAATTATACGATTCTATTTCATCAGCGACAATTGAGTCAGTTGAATCTGTAAATTTGTGCTCTAAACGTACTTTCGAGAACATACTATACAAACAGACGTACTTTCGAGAACATAGTACTCTATTATAAACTGTACTATACTATACTCCAAACATACGTACTTTCGAGAACATAGTACTCTATTATAAACTGTACTATACAATACTCCAAACATACGTACTTTCGAGAACATAGTACTCTATTATAAACTGTACGATACTATACTCCAAACATACGTACTTTCGAGAACATAGTACTCTATTATAAACTGTACTATACTATACTCCAAACATACGTACTTTCGAGAACATAGTACTCTACTATAAACTGTACTATACTATACTCCAAACATACGTACTTTCGAGAACATAGTACTCTATTATAAACTGTACTATACTATACTCCAAACATACGTACTTTCGAGAACATAGTACTCTATTATAAACTGTACTATACTATACTCCAAACATACGTACTTTCGAGAACATAGTACTCTACTATAAACTGTACTATACTATACTCCAAACATACGTACTTTCGAGAACATAGTACTCTATTATAAACTGTACTATACTATACTCCAAACATACGTACTTTCGAGAACATAGTACTCTACTATAAACTGTACTATACTATACTCCAAACATACGTACTTTCGAGAACACAGTACTCTACTATAAACTGTACTATACTATACTCCAAACATACGTACTTTCGAGAACATAGTACTCTATTATAAACTGTACTATACTATACTCCAAACATACGTACTTTCGAGAACATAGTACTCTACTATAAACTGTACTATACTATACTCCAAACATACGTACTTTCGAGAACATAGTACTCTATTATAAACTGTACTATACTATACTCCAAACATACGTACTTTCGAGAACATAGTACTCTACTATAAACTGTACTATACTATACTCCAAACATACGTACTTTCGAGAACACAGTACTCTACTATAAACTGTACTATACTATACTCCAAACATACGTACTTTCGAGAACATAGTACTCTATTATAAACTGTACTATACTATACTCCAAACATACGTACTTTCGAGAACATAGTACTCTACTATAAACTGTACTATACTATACTCCAAACATACGTACTTTCGAGAACACAGTACTCTACTATAAACTGTACTATACTATACTCCAAACATACGTACTTTCGAGAACATAGTACTCTACTATAAACTGTGCTATACTATACTATAAAACTTGAGAGTAAGGTATTCTTATTTAGAAATTATCACTGCAGACACACTGCATTCCATCGAGAACTTAGAGTTAGACTTCCGGCCAAAATCGAATAACTTACAGTTAGACTTCCGGCCAAAATCAAATAAACAAATAACTTAGAGTTAGACTTCCGGCCAAAATCAAATAAACAAATAACTTAGAGTTAGACTTCCGGCCAAAATCAAATGAACAAAGAACTTAGAGTTAGACTTCCGGCCAAAATCAAATGAACAAAGAACTTAGAGTTAGACTTCCGGCCAAAATCAAATGAACAAAGAACTTAGAGTTAGACTTCCGGCCAAAATCAAATGAACAAAGAACTTACAGTTAGACTTCCGGCCAAAATCAAATAAACAAATAACTTAGAGTTAGACTTCCGGCCAAAATCAAATAGTATGGTTAGGTTTGATTATTTAGTTATTTCTCTGCAAGATAGTATACGTTTTAATATAAGCATTTTAAATGAGCTATAAATATAATGATAAGGTAACGGATGACGCAGAGCTGTTGTCTTACATTAACAAATTATTTGTTAATTGTTATATATTATAATAGTGTTGAAAGCATTAAAAGTTAGAGTGGTCGAGACGCCCCGTGGGTGAGTGACAACAGTGTAGTTAGCTCAACTATCATAGTAGGAGTTCAACTGTTAGTAGGGGCGATTATATATTCACGACTTGATAATTCGTTTTTCAATTTTTGCTTTTCGTCCGTGCCACCGAATACCTCGAAACACTCACGATAAACCCCATATCTTTAGTTACAATTTTACAAAAATTCGCTGCCTGAAAAGTCGTGCATTCCGAATACCGTGCATTTCTGTCCATTATTCTCTCCCAATCGGCTGTTTAAGAGCAAGCTCTATTTATGGGTTTCCTGGTTTGTAACATGATAAGCGTTTCAGTATTTTTTGCTATGTTCTTTGAAGTGTCCCGCATCAGGGTTCGCAGTTCCTCTTAAGAGTTTGTCCCAACTTCCTTCAGTAACATAATCAAATAAAATAATAAAAAAGCTTTGTCTCGGTCAACCTTGCTGTGCTCTACCATGCGCTGCACAGTGCACAGGTTCCCAAAATACTAAATCAGTGGCCAGTAGCTCAAGAAGCCTGATGCAGTGTACAGCTATTTTTAATCTCCTGCTTCGTAATTTTTTGACAGCCTTGGTAGGCTACCATACGATGCAACATTGCTGACCTTGTCCTTCCATAATTTGGCATTGTATCAACTTCCGTAAACCTATCAGATCATGCCAAATAGAATAATTAGTCACAATGACAGATCAGAATAATATCATTCCAGATGACTGATGAAGGAATTTTAAATAGGATGCGAATAACTGTTTACACACTGCTGTGTAATCGTTAGTTAATACAAGGTAGAGCTGATTAGGTAGCACTGTTTACACCACATCATAACTAACCTCATGAAACTCATTCCTTTCTTCACATTTATATTGTGATATATTCACCCTCCGGCCTCCTATTAAGTGATGTGAAATATTGCAGAGTTTGTATCCTTTTCAGTTGACTGTTGAAATACTACTGAGGACTGAAGCTTGTTTCCAGCCAACTTTATGCCGTTTAATTTGATTGTCATGTTTAATTTAGTAGCTTCCTCTCTTTGTAGTTATACGGGAACAATGGAAATGGCAAC